TTTTAAAAATAAATTCATTTTTAAATCAAATTATATCTTCATTATTTTTTGTTTTTTGCAAAAATTTAATATTTTTTATATTTAAAAATTATTTCTTGCATGATTCATTTTATATTTTTTAAATTTATAAAAAATATAAATTATATATAATTTATTGGATTTCATTTATATTTCAATTCAAATTTAATATCTTTTATTAATATTATATTAAATATATTAATTTGAAAAAATGAATTTTTTTTTTAATAAATTTTAAAAAAAATTAAAATGAAGATCATATTTAAATTTACAAAAAAAAATTATATAAAAAATTATTTTTTTTCTTTTTTTTTTTCAAAATTTTTGTTTTTTTTTTAAAAAAAAAAAAAAAAAGTTTTTTGTTTATTCAAATTTGAAAAAAAAAAAAAATTTTTATTTTTAAATTTGTTTTAGTTTTTTTAGACATTTTTTTTTTTGTTTTTTTTATAGTTAAATTCCATATATATGATTTTCAATGAATAAACAAAATTCCAAACTTTTTTTTTATTTATTCTAATTATGTTTGATAAATATATATTTATATATATATATATATTTAAACATATAATAAAAATTTGATTTAAAAATTTTCTTTCCAAATTTTTGTTTATTTTTTTCTATATATGATCATTTATTATATAAAAAAAAAAAAATCAAATTTAAATCGAAAAAATCAAAATTTCTAAAGTTTTAAAAAAATTTAAAAATAATAAAAATTAATATTAATTTTTATTTAAATAAATATTTTTTGATGATAAATTTTTTTTAAATTTATATATCTATATTTTTTATTTAAATTTTATTAATATAATATATATATATTTTTTAATATAAAAATATTTAACATTCATTGGTTGAGCAGAAAAAACTATAGTTTTAATTTTAATTAAAAAATTTTTCTTTAAATTTTTAAAAAAAATCAAAAAAATCAAGTATTTAGCTATATTTTAGATATATTTCATTAGATAATTTTAATAATTAATTAATAATCTATATAATTTTAAATTATTATTATTTTTTTTTTTTTAAATTTATATATATATTTATAAATATAAAAAAAAAATGTTGAATATTCATATCAAAAAAAAAATAATAAAATATTTAAATTTTAAATATTTTTATATATTTTTAAAAAAAAATTTTTTTTTTGAATATTAATAAAATTTTTTAAATTTGTTTGAATATATAAATAAATTGATATTTTTTTTAAAAAATATTTAATGACAAAATATAATATCATATAAAAATTTCTTGTTTAACTTTTTTATTTACTCCTAAGATGTATATTGGAAAATAAAATTTCAGTAAAGAAAATATTTTTCCATGTTGAATTTTCAATTTTTTAAAGAAATTAAAATTCTACAAAAAAATTTTTTTCTGTAAAAAAATGATTTTGAAATTTCTGAGTTTAATTTTTTCATTTTATATCCTTACAATGTTTTGCATTTTAATTATATAAAAATTTTTTCAATTTAATTTTTTTTTTATTGTCAAAAATGAAAAAAAATTTTTTATTGTGTAAATATAAAAAATATATATATTTTTTTTTTTTGAATTTTGAACTGTCTTTTTTCTTAAAACAATTTCAATTTCTTTTTTTTTTTAATAAATAATTAAAATTTTTTTAAACTGAAAATTTGCAATAAAAATAAAAAAATATTGATATATATATATATATATATATATATATATATATTGAAATATAATTTTATGTCTTTTTTTTGTTTTCAAAATAAAAATATATTTATTAATTTTATATAAAATTTTATATATATATATATATGTTTATTGCCCCAATTTTATTTTAATAAAAATTTTTTAATAAAATAAAAAAAGTCATAAATATTTATTTTATGAAAAAAATAAATTTTCCTTTTTTTTTTTTGCAAACATTCATTTAAATTTTTATTAAAATAAAAATTAATAACTTATAAATAAAGTAATTTTTTATATTTTAAATTTAATTCAAAGATTTTTAATATTGAAAATTTGTTTCATTTCATAATCAATTAACTTTTAAATAGTATATTTGTATAAATTTAAATAAAGAAGTTATATAAATAGAGTTAAAATTTTTATATAAAATAAATTTTCCATAAAAATAAGAAAAATTTCATCATTTTTATTTAAAAAATTTTTTTTTTTGTTTTTTTTTAAGCATTTCATTCCAAGCAAGGAAGGAGTGCCATTAGCATGCAAGGGGTTACAGAGAGTGTGAGCAAGATTAAAGAGGCATGATAGAGGAAAGGGTGAAGAGACGGACGGGGAATAGATCAAGGCATCTAGAGATGTTGACTGGCATTGCATTTGAATAGTTGGAGATTATAACTATCAAGGAAGCAAATAAGAGGAAGGGAATTCCAGACAGGAAGTGTGAGACATGATACTTTTGGAGTAGAAGAGATGGCTACATTTAACCGTTTTCACAGTGAAAGGGTGGGACTGAGATGCCAACCTAGTAGCATGTTTAAATTCATGCAGTTTGGGAACCAGCGAAAAGTAACTTGTCGGAGAAAAGCAGTTACCATGAAACTGTAAATTTGTAGAAAAGACAGATCTCTGGAGGAGGACAACACATCTGTGAGAGAGCAACTGTAAATTTGAAGATGCCAGATCAGGAACCAAAGTAGATAAAGCACATTGCATATCCATCTCTGGATTTTGTCTCAGAGGACCTTAAGACGAACAGACATTCGATCAAGTATCCATGAAAACTTTGCTGGTCTTAGACCAAATATTTTTTATGGTCTTGTAGCAGTATTCTTATTTTTAAGTCGTGTGATTTTTTCCTCTATTTTACTATTTTCTCTTCATTTATATTTGATTTGAAAGTCCTTAAGGATGGACTTGTGTAAGTTGGTACAGTTCTTTGTGATTCTATAGTTCCAGTGCATAAGGTTTGAAGATGAATGGCCTATTCCAAGATCCACAGACTTCACTCACTCAGAGCCATTTTTAACCGCTGATCTAAGAAAGTGGTTGTGTACAGCTGGCAGTTTAGATATTTCTGAACAGGTTTGGTGCCATGCGTGACATCTGTATAAAAGTCTTCATCTGATTTCTTCAGTTCTTTAATTCTCTCTTGGTACCACAGCATGTTTGAACAACAAACAAAAATTTTCCTTCATATTTAGCAAGTGGCATGTCAAATTTTCATGTTTAGTCAAGTATAGATCAAACAAGTGACCAATGATGAAGAGGGAGGGAGGAAAGCAACACATAACCTACCTAGCAAGCTTGAACAAATTAGATGGTGGGAAAATGTTTAGAAGAGATAACTAAGACAAAATTTATTAAGAGCTACAAAAGGAAATTGTGGAGAGCCATAATCATCAACATTCTGAAAGGACACAACATGTAGAAGATAAAAACCTATAAAACAACACTCATGAAAATATATAATAAGAATAAACATTAAGTGATATATCTACAATATTTTAAAAGAGGCTGTTTGAAAACCTACATGATATTAATGCTGCGACAATGCTAATGTAACAGTACTAATAAAGTGTTCAAGACTTTGTGTTTAGTGTAGATATTCTTATGTACAAAGATGTATAAATGAATATTAAATAAATATTGGCTTATCAATGCCAATTTTATTGCATTTGTTGACATATATTTAAAAGACAAACTGTTTTTCTTTTACCCGATTCATTCAATTTTATCATTAGTCATTTAAGGTTGACATATCACATGAAGTAGCTGATTTATTTTATTTTTAGTTTCTTTCTTCTCTTGTATTTTCTTGTTGCAAATCAGAACATATAGCAATTCCTGTTTAGAAATAAAATTAATTTAAAAATGAATTTCTGAACTTTAAGAAAGCTCAGTCCAGAAAACCAAAGTCACATCTGAATAACAAAAGATGCCTTTCATGAAATAAGCAAAGTATTAAGATAGAGAAGTTTTGTTATAGGCTGAGAAATGAGTGCTATGTGAACTTATGTGATATCAATCATTCCATATGGCAGTGAATGCAAGACAATTTCATTTTAGATGAAGAGAAGACTGAAGGCAACAGATATGTTGTCCTACAGATGGATGCTAAGCATACCATGGACAGAACATGTGAGCAACAAGGAAGTTCTTAAGGAAATCAGAACTAAACACATACTCATATTTAAAATAAGAAAGAAATTTGAAATTACTAGAACACATTATAAGGAAAGATGGTTTGGAAAACTTAATACTCACAAGATGTTTTGAAGGAAAGAAGAAGTAGGAGAAGGGAGAAGCAACTGACCTCATGAGTATGAATGAATAGCAGAGCAAGGTAGGTGGGATGGTAAAGAGTCACACATTGCTTAAAACAAGAAAGTTGGGGAGAGCCATGACCATTTTGTATTCATTAAATCAAAATGGCAACAACCAAACCCAAATTGTACTATGCTGTTAGATCTGACCTCATTATCTGACCCTGTTTTAACACATTTTTTGTTAGACACCCTGTTGCCATGATCTTTATTAGGTCTAACCATTAAAGACTGGAATATTTTTCTGTGATGTTAAAATATATTGTCATTTGCTTCAGGACAATCATTGATTTCATTATCTTCATTAGCATCTATGAATTATCTTGAATCACTGTCAAAGTAAGAAGACTCAAGACAAAGGAACGTTTTCACAAGATATTCTGTCATTCATTTACAAATGGCTATGTCCTAATCTTATTTAGCTCTTTCAGAAAAAAATATATAAATATATCATTTTCAGCTGCCCAGTTTCAATTTTATTACGAAATTTTTTTATCTAGCGAAATCCTGTGAAACATTGGTCTGTGGAACTGACTCCCAAGAGGATGTTTTCCCTGTCACTACAATCTTAACCTGTTCAAGTTCAGAGTTAACCATTACCTTCCACACACATATCCACATAAACTGTGCCTCTTACTCTGTAACCTACCACCAGTGGCTTCTTGTGAACCTCACTGTAAACAAAAAAACAAAAAGAGATAAAATACAAATATACTTTGTTTTTAGCTTTATTTATTGTTTATTTCATTGTTTGCAGGTTTTGAAACTGCTCGGACACTTGCTTTTCATGGTGCAACTGTGATACTGGCTTGTCGTAACCTGGAAAGTGCTGCAGCAGCCAGCGAGAAGATTCTTGCAGAAAGATCCACAGCAGAAGTAGAAATCATGGCACTAGATCTGGCTTCTTTAAAAAGTGTTCGCTATTTTGCAGATACATACAAATGTAGGAAATGGTAAGCAGAATTTCTGAAACCAAATCATTTTTATTCTTACTGTTTAATAGATCCTTCTTATCTCTACAAGATGATTCCAAAAGAAAGTGTTGTTGCATACAACCAAATAGATAATGCTTTCTTTTGGATTCTCTGATTTATATAAATATTTGCAAATGATAAGGGTGAGAATAGACATTTTCATCCAGGAAACATTCAGCAGTCATTTACCTAACAATTATTGTTACTGTTAGTTGAAATTTATAAAATATTTTTCTTAAAACAATTTTTCAGGAAATTAGACTTCTCAAACTCACTAAATATTATAGTTTTTTTTCTTGTGTTAATGGGAGTTTCCCTCCAAACCTTTTGTTTATGGTTGTGTGGATAGTCAACATCTTGATTATATCATTATTTTTCTTTCTAGTTATATATGTTATCCATTTGTTGAAAGGTGATTATTTCCCAATTATGTGTAAACAAAATGGTACAGCATGTCTTTGCAAAATTAAATGATATTGTTCATTTTTCATGAATCCCTTGACCTGAATTAAATCTCTAGCCTTTTTGATAATTTCAAAAAGCCTACTGAGTAAAAAAAATAAATATCCATAATTTAGTAAAATCTACTGTGGACAGACAAATTCAATTTTGAATTAAGAAGAGCCTGGAGAAAAATAAAAGCAAACATGCTGTAGTTACTGAAATGTTAGCTTTTACTTTAAAAAAAAAATCACCTTAAAATGAAATATTTTTCTATTTTTTTTTAAAGAAATGCAAGGTAGGCCCAAACTTTTTGCTTGTAGTGTAGTAGGATGTAGAATAATATCAAAACAAAAATGGAGAAAGTGTTTATAATGACAGCACATTTCACCTTGTGTACTAAGGTTGGTGTCTTCAAAGTTAGAATGGAAGAGAAACCAGTATGCCTTTTGAATTAAAGCTGTTAGTGTGTGTTAACTAGGCTGGCATCTTCTAGGCATAAAGAAAGAACAAAATTGTGTTTTTTTATTAATACTCTTAATGTCTGTTGGATTTTGAAATTAGCCTCCTCATTTGCATTCCACCATAAGACACAATATATTTCCAATGCATTGATGATATCCTATTAATATACCTACATCACTTATTGATAAATTAAACAGGATGGAATATACAATCACTTTTAGTTACGAAACAGAATCAAACCATACTTTACCATTTCTTGATGTCATGTTAATACACACACATGATAATATTCAACTGAAGGTCTATTGAAAATCCACAAATAAGATCACCTTATACACGTTTACTCCCATCACAACAATAAAATAAAATCCAGCATAATAATAGGGTACTACTTAAGAACTTGTAGAATCTGTAGCTCTTAATTCCTGCCTTAGGAAGAAAAATAGATTGTAAACACTTTCAAACCCATCCAATGCCTGAATTTTTTCTTGTATAATGCCAAACACAAAGTCTACAAAATCCACATAATAAAAATAAAAAAAATTGCAGAAAATAATAATTCCAACAACCCTGACCAAATTAAGTGTATAATTCTACTAACTCCATAACAGCTACCATCAATAATAACTTATCCAGTCTTGATCGAAAATTCATCAACATTACCTCTAAAACAATAAGAGGTATTGTTAGCACCAAATGAGATAGCAACAACATGATGACATAAGCAGGAATATACAAAAGCGATTGTACCCAATAATGTACATTGGTGAGACATATAGAAACCTCAAAAAGAAGTCTATGTGATCATCACAGAGATATGCTGCATAGTAACACTTCGAATGTACTGGTAGTTCACCAGAACACATTTGGCAACAATTTCAACTTAATAAATACCAGTCTGATCAGTAGAAAAAAGTATTCACTAAGGAGAAAATGCATTGAGAGTGCACTGATCTCATAATTCTCTATGATAAACCTAAGACCAGACACATGCACAGTACCATTGCAAAAAATAGCAGTAGATTATGTTATATGATCTAATAGACAAAATAACAGGGACCTACATGAAGTGGGCTAATTTCAAATCCAACAGATATTAATAAGTTTGATATAACAGTTTTGTTTTTCATTCTGACCTGACAAAGCCAACCAACCACAGAGACAAAATGCATTTTTCATTTTTATATATATATATATATATATATATATATATATATATATATATATACTGTCCTTCAAGGATCTAACTATTCTATCATTTACCCAACCCACTGCTAGGAGAAATGGATTCATGCCTTTTTCCAAGGCATTAGTGTGAATTTAGAGCCAATGGTTCCAACCAAAATTTGAACTCAGTTTACCAATTCTATTCTCTGTGCTGTTACTGGGCACTGAAATATTTTACATTAGTGGCAATGTTTTTCACTTAACAAAATTATCATTACATATAGAGTTAGAATTTTAACAATGAATAACTAATGAAGAACTAAATAAACACACTCAAAATCTCAAGCATCAATTCACAATATGTGGCTATAGGCAACACATAATCAGGGAATAAATAACTAAACCAATTTCTACACCTAGAGAAGACACCGTAATGTGCAAGATTAAAAATAAATCCAGACACATCGCTCTAGTAACCACTTTCAACCTCACTCTTCTTCCATTATCCCAGATAATCAAAAGTCGCTGGGAAATACTACATCTCAAACCAGACCTAAAAATTTTGTTTGAGCAACCTGGCCTTCTAGCATATCATAGACCTAAGAACATTAAGGAAATTATATGTAGTAACTACATTTCAGAGGATAAGGTAATCCGTAATAGACCAAAAATAAACACAACAATAGGATTTCCCCAACCATGTAACAACAAATGGAGCTTATGCTCTAACCATATTAGACACACTAATTTGTTCACTAGCTCAGTCACTAAATCTACTTTCAAAATCTACCATGTCTCTACCTGTAGAAGTCGTAACATAGAATGCACACTATGCCAGAAACAATATGTGGGAAAATCTGAATGGCCTTTTTATCACAGAATTAATAATTATCATAATTAAGTTAGCTCCCCACAAAAGATTATTACCTGTAGAACAACCTTTCCACCTAGAAAAACATGATTTTAAAAGCCATGCTAAATTCACTATAATTGAAAAAATAGAAAAGGACAGAAAAGATAACATTAAAAAATTTTTACAAGACCATGAAGACAAATGGATTTTGTCCACAAAACATTCCATCCAGATGGGTTTAATCACAAATTTAACAACATTAAATAGAATTAATATATAACCTCATAAATCAAGCCCTACCCACATTTCTCACCCTCACAAGACAGATATGCTTGTGGAGGTGTTGAGGTCTCATACTTATACACACTCCCATACTAATATATATATATACACTTACACACATCATACACACTCCAGAAGAACTCAGTGATAACATGCACTTAACACAGACACATCCCCTTCCCAGGAACAAATAAAATTGTCAAATGACCAAGGGAATTCTGAGATGCATGAATCTTCACAGTCTTTATCTTAAAAAACAACTTAAAAGAGGCTCTTTCACCAACACAGGAACTGACCAAAATTAACAAATGAAAACTACAGATAAAGTTCATTTTCTTCAGAAAGCCATTCATTCCTGTAGTTCACTGCTACTAATAAGCAGAAACTTTTTTCTCCTGATGATGGCCATGCTGGCCTGAACTAGTCAAAGAATCTAATTGAAATAAAAAAACAAAAAAATATTAATATACAACCCAGTGTGTCTGAAAAATTTTAATTTCTCAATATTTTTTATTGTTCAAAACATATATACATTCAATATTCATGCTCACATGTGTGCGTGTAAGGCATGCATAGACATATAAAAGTAGAGAAGTAAAAAAAAAATACTATGAAGTGTAATAGAAGCTCAGCTAGTAGAGGAAATTAATTGAAAAATAAATGAATAAAGATATTATCAGCACATTTAAATTAGATTTGGACTACCACCTACTTGTGTAGATTTTCCTATGCATCACTAATCAAAGAGTTTAGAATAACTTTTCCAATCTTTGAAATTTTTGACCTTTGAAAAAGATTAAAACTTTCATGCCAAATGTTTAATTACAATAACATATTTAAGCATATACAGAAATATATATATATATATAGTGCGATGAGTAAATTGTCACAATGTTCTATATTTTTAATTTTGCACATGCATGTTTGTTTTTGTCAACTGCACAGTATAGTAGGGTCAGTTGAGCACCATCTGTGAGAAAAAAAGAACCATGATGTAATTCACTCTACCAGAAATTTGGAAATGGCATGCTTTACTGCTTGGCATTTGCACCAAAAGCACCAATACAAACATTTCAGAGCATTTGGCTTTCAATCTGAGGATATTGTATAGGATTCAGAAAGAGTTGGATGGTATATCTATTCAACATCATTGTGTTTTGAGTGATCACTACTGATAGTGATGTTATGCCTCCATTCATCTTCCAACAGGGCATCAAACTCAACACAGTCCTACATCAAGTGCTGCTCTGTATCAAGAGAATAGCTGCAAGAAGACCCTATGTCTGGCAACAGGACTCTGTGTCATGCACACAAGCAGGAGAACCCAGTCATGGCTCTCAGACAATTTCTGCAACTACATCACTCCTTACATCTGGCCATGTAACTCCATAGACTGCAACCTTCTTAATTAGTATGTGTAGAGCACAGTTGAGCGAGAAATAAAAAAAATTCCTATTAACACCAAAGATGAACTTAAGGCTAGATTACAGCAGCATTCACCAACATAAACAAGGAGACCATCCAGAAGAGTTGCAGGAGATTCCAAAGACCTCTAGACTAAATACTACCAGCAGTACTAGAAGAATAATGTACAAATTATACTATGTTAAAATTGATCTTACTGATAAAATATAAACTTTATATGGTGCAACAAGGTTATTCTAAAATTTAAGAAGAAGCAATTGTCAAATTTCAAAGCCTAGCAAAATTATAGATTCAAAGGTACGATATGTTTACAGTTAACCATTAATTCCAATCTTTGATTTAATAA